GTTTTTCTCCGGTACCGGGAACCGAACTCACGACCTTGCGCTTGCCAGGCAGGCGCTTTTGCCGCTGAGCTAAATCCCCAGCCCAAGGGCTGATCTTTAAATCATCTTGTTATTGAGAAGGTTCTGAAACATCAGTGAGCATCTTTTCTAGGTTTTTTTTTATCATCAGAACATCAAAGCTGTAGTTTTTGCCTCATATGCTCTTGTTTGAGAGATTTGTGTCATAGTGTGTTAGCTTTTTTCACTTGTATCAAAATACTGAAGGTTAACAATGTAAAAAGGAAACAGTGTTTATCCTCGTTGACATTTAGAAGCTCCAGGGTCAGCTGGTTCTTTTGCCCTTGAGCCTGTGGTGAGGCAGCACATTGTGGTAGGGAGTGTGTGATGCAGCAAACCTGCTCACCTTGTGACAGCCAGGAAGCAAAAAGACAGAGAGAGTAGGCACAGAGGTCTGATACCTCCTTTACAACCTAACTTCCTTCCACTAGGCCCCACCTTCTAAAGGTTCCACCACCTCCCACTCCCCCCACAGGCTGGCAACCAAGTCTTTAGCATATTGGCCTATTAAAGGACATTTAATTTAGCCAGTTGTGGTGGCACACACCTGCAGTTCTAGCACTTGGGAGGCTGAGGCCAGTTGTGACTTTCAGGTCAACATATACTGTGTACTACATAGTGAGACCCCTGACTCAGAAAACTGAAAAAAAAGAAAAAAAGAAAGGAAAATACAAACCATTAACACCTAAACCTAGTATACATAACAATTATTAAGTTAGAACTGATGTTGAAAATTCTTATTGGAGGCTAGGTATGGTAGGACATGCCTATAATCCTATATAATCCTAGCACTTGGGAGGCTGAGGCAGGAGGATCCCTGGGAGTTTGAGGCCAGCCTGTGCTACATAGTGTGTTTGAGGCCAGTGTGAACTGCATAGTGAAACCCTGTGTCAAAAAAAAGAAAAAGACAGGAAAAAAAGAAAATTCTTACTGGAATTAGTAGCACTACGACTAACAATGCTAGGATGGAATCGTGCTAGTTTGTTTCAGCTGTATCACTTAATGGTGTCTGACTTAAACAAATAATTTAAACTTTTAGTGTAAAAATACTTATAACTTATTGAATATTTATTTTTCAATAGCAATTACAGTGAATGTGCGATTGAAATAGTCGTTTCAGCAGTTAACGAAAATCACCATTAAGTCATCTAAATAAACAAAGAACTAGATGTTTGTAACATTGTAGAGGCCTACAGCAGTAAGGTTTGGGCCTCCCTCACCCAACTAACCACTTGCCCCAGATTTGGAAACTGCTCTCGCTGGAAATATTCAGGTGCTGCCGTCACGGCCATGGCACATGGAATGATGCTAATGCTGCCCACACAAAAGCTGGCTGGAGAGAGCTTCCTGCACTGCCTTCCAGATGTTATGTGCATTCGCTGGTGTACTCTACATCCCATCTGTGGCCTGATCACAGGTGTCACGTGTGTGTGCTTGCATGCGTGTGTGTGTCTTAGTCTTTTTGTCTGTAGGAAACTTGTATTCATGCTGGCCACGAGCAGAACGGGAAAAGAATAGGAAAGCCGATAGCACAGTGATCTTAAAGTGTTCTTAGTGATAATAAAATTTCAGATTGACTTAGCAGCATCATAGAATGAGTAACTTATGTACAGAACATTTATTTTATTTTATTTTATTTTATTTTTATTTTTTGTTGTTTTGAGACATGATTTTGCTATGCAGTCAGGCTGGCCTTGAACTCACAGCAATCCTCCTGCCTCAGCCTCCCAAGTGCTAGAATTACAGGTATGCACTACCCCAGCTAGAAAATTCATTTTCTATACATAATTTGTCTTATGTATGTATGTATGTATTTATTTATTTATCTTTTTGAGACAGGATCTCACTATGCAGTTCAGGCTGGCCTTGGGCTTACTTTGTAGCCCAGATGGATCTCAAACTTGCACTGACCCTCCTGTCTCAGCCGCCCCAGTATTTTTATTTGTTTACTTTTGTTTTCTTGAGGCAAGGTTTCACTATGCAGTTCAGGCTGGCCTTGAACTCACTGTGTAACCCAGGCTGGTCTTGAACTCACACATCAATCCTACCTCAGCCTCCCAAGGGCTGGGATTACAGGCGTGCGCCACCACTGCTGGCATCCATAATATATGTTAAACAATGCAAGGTATTTTCTAGTAAGCTCATTTTAAATAGGTTTAATAAAGGATATTTATTGAGGTGACCCCAGACTACTTTTGGTAATATCTTTAGTAATTCCCTAATTGGCAAATCCATGAATTTAAATTTTTTTCTTGAGTTTAGAAATTGCTTAACTGATAAGTACTTCAAGCCCAACAGTCTAGCATGTAGTCTCAACTAGGTACAGTATTGTTCTCCCGTACATGCTGTTCTTTGAGTAGGGTTTTGGGAAGGCTGTCTATGAGGGGAATATCTTTAAGGCTATTGAGTTTGACTCTGTCATTGTTACTCACCTGTCACTTATGTGCTCTCTCAGCCTCCGGGCAAACATCCCTTTACAGTATGCATTATGTTATGTTTGTTTGTGTGCTCTCCACTACAGTAAGGGATCCTTGCGGGAAAGGGGTTGTTCTAACCTACTTTATCCCTCATGCCCAGTGTAGTAGCTGGAAGGAACTGCTCAGTAAATGTTTAGTGACTGAGGATTACAAGGTCAGCACTGAGTACTCATTTCACAGTGACTGAACTAGGAGAAGGAAGCAGGAGATTGGGGCAGGGTAAAGGTGGTGAGGGTTTCACTGTTTGCAGAGAACTGCTTTGTTCTTTAATATATCCTGGAAAGTCAAATAATTCAGCATATGAAAAGATTTTTGAATGAACAAATGGAAGGATAAACCCCCTATTTTTACCCCAGTCCTAGAATATTTAAAGTATATAAAATATTTTTAGAAAAAAGACCCTGCTAGACTATCCTAGATAAAAGATCCTGCTAGTTTATTACCTAGAACTAGAGTCCCAAATAGTGATTTCTCTTCTGTTCTGTTTCTTCATTATTAAACATCAGGGAATTAGGTTAGCTGTCCTTCAGATCTCTTTTTTTTTTTTTGGTTTTTCTCCGGTACCGGGAACCGAACTCACGACCTTGCACTTGCCAGGCAGGCGCTTTTGCCGCTGAGCTAAATCCCCAGCCCCCAGATCTCTTGACTAGAATTTCTAACTGTAATCAAAGCTGCTCCCCTGAACTTAGCTTAAGAGTAAAGGGAAGCTAAATCTTTAGCCTGAGTTCCTGTCTTCTGTCATTCTGTCCTGCCTGTTTTTGGTCTCTAATATTCCTCACTTGACAGCTTTTTTTTTCCTTTACCTGTGCTGGTGTGTTCCTGTCTCGGGCTTAGTTGTCCTGTCATTGTAGCTATAAGGAGACAGACACTATTGGCCCTGCAGTAACAGGTCTCTGTGTAGGAGGTTGTACCTATTCCTTTCCTCCTAACCACAGACCCCTGTGTCACTGTGTAGACCAGCTGATTTTGAACTCACTATGTATTTTAGGCTGGCCTCAAACTCACAGCAGTTCTCCTGCCTCGGCCTCCCAAGTGCTGGGATTACAGGCAAGCACCGTTACACCAGCAAAAAAAAGGCCAACAGTGTTGACACATGCCTATAATCCCAGCACTATGAGGGGCTGAGGCTGGAGGGTTGCAATTTTGAGTTCTGCCTGGGCAGTTTAGAGACTTAACAAGTTCCTGTCTCGAAAGGGCTGGAGTTGTAGCTTGATGTGAAGGCCCTGGTTTCAGTCTCCATTACTGCCCCCCATCTTTTACAGAATAAAGTTTAAATTCTTCAACTGTTTCAGATTAGTTTATGTAACACGTTAGTGTAGACTGACGAAGCCGAGGTCTGCGTGCCAGAAGCTCAGTAGTGTGCTGACTGCAGTAACCTGTAGTTCCGTTGTATTTACACCCCCTTGACAGTTGGAAATAGATCGCACGTGGTCTGGTCATGTGTGTTCTGACTAGGGGGCCGTAAGACAGGCAGCGCAGTGGTACACATTCATTTCAGCTCCACTGTGACTTGATTTTTACAGATTTAAATTTTAGTTTGATCTTGGAAGAAGGGCAGACTAAGTCTGTGGTCATGGAAATTCATTTTTAGAGTGCATTTGTTTCTTTTATTTCTTTTGTATTTAGAGAATTTATTTTTAAAAATTCCTATCTGAGAAGAAAAAACTCAAAGTGGTGACTTCCTATAACCTACTTTTTAGTGTTTCTTAATTTTGGGAGTTTTATCTTGTTTGAAACTGGAATTATAATGAGTTTTGTGGCATTTTTTCCTAATACGTTATGGGGGGGTGGGAGAGAAGTCTGTTTGAGATTATTAGGAAGGGAAACCATTTAATGATGGACTTATACAACTAAGCTTTATTTTTATGAGGCCAACTTTATTAAATTCATTGATTCCACATTCGTGTAACCATTTTTTAAATCATGTAATAGGTCAACCACCGAAATTAATCGAATTATACCTCATTAGTGAGTTGTATTAAACAGAATCGATACCTTTTCAGATGTTCTCCATGTCAGCTAATTAAATATAACTACTTATTCTCAGGTGCTGTTGCCATTTGGAAAGGGAAGTTGAGAAATTTATTTTTAAAGTAATTCCGTTAAATTTATACTGTTTCCCATCTGTTGGCAGGACTTTGTGTCATTGTATCAAGATTTTGAAAACTTCTATACGAGAAACCTTTACATGAGGATAAGAGATAACTGGAATCGACCAATCTGTAGTGTACCTGGAGCCAAAGTGGACATCATGGAGAGACAGTCTCATGATTATAACTGGTCATTCAAGTGAGTGGTGGCTTGGAAGTTGTTTCTTGACAACAGAAGGATTTCTTCATTTGAGAGAACATTGCAAGTTGAATATTCTCACAAAACAGAAATTACAGTTGAGAAGACAGTACACTATGATTGGCTCCTTTTGAATTGTTCATTGATATTGGATTTTGTTGTTGATGATGATATTGTTACGGATTCAGCCCATTGCATTATACACGTCAGACATGTGCTTTACTACTGAGCTACACCCACAGCGCCCTCATTAAGACTCTTTTTTTTGGTACTGGGAGTCAAACTCAGGACCTTGCACTTGCCAGGCAGGCGCTTGTGCCACTGAGCTATATCCCCGGCCCCAAGACTTGTTTTTTCACTACTGGGGTTTGAACCCAGGGCCTTTGCTTTGGGCTAGGTCCTCAGCTTTTTTTTTAAGGCAAGTTCTCACTGAATTGCCCAGGCTGTACTCAAATTTATTATCCTCCAGTCTCAGCCTCCCAGAGTGCATGTGCCACTTTAAGATTTCTAAAATACGGGGCTGGGGATTTAGCTCAGTGGCAAAGCACCTGCCTGGCAAGCACAAGGTCATGAGTTCGATTCCTGGTACCGGAAGAAAAACGAAAAACAAACAACAAAAAAGATATCTAAAATACATTTTCTATTACATATGATTCTGTATTAGATTATAGTTGAGAACAAAATTTGACTTATTAAATAGGAAAGAAGACCATTGTGCCACTTACCAGAATCAAGTACAGTATCTAAATTTATTTCTAGATTTTTTTTTGTTTCTCTTAAAGACTTAAGGATGGAGTGTTTTCACTTAGATTGAACAGTTTTATAATTGTATATCTTCTAACATTTTATTATTTAGATTGTACAAGTATTATATGATTGCTTTACCATTAAAGAAAAAAAAGCTTACAAATAAACCGAAAGTCCTCCATGACAGCTGAGCCCTATCCTTCTATAAATCTACTCCCCCACAAATCCTCCTTTACCCTCTAGAGGTGACCGTTATTACCACTTTGTTTTTTTGTTTTTTTGTTTTTTGTTTTTTTGGTTTTTCTCCGGTACCGGGAACCAAACTCACGACCTTGTGCTTGCCAGGCAGGCGCTTTTGCTGCTGAGCTAAACCCCCAGCCCCTTACCCCTACCACTTTATTTGGTATTATTCCTCCAGATGTTTTTGTGGGGTATATGTATAGTATATCTATGGGTTACTTACACAGAGGCACTTTCCTGTACAAAAATGGGATCATACTATATAAATCATTTTCCAGTTTGCTTTTTTATTTGCTGATATTTTGCTAACATCCTTCTTGTTTATATTCACCGCAAGTTAATTATTAGAAGTGACTATGTAATATTCTACAGTATGGAAGCGCCAGGTATAGCAGATTGGGCTAAGTCACCCTCTTTTGGTAACCCCAAGTCCAAGGGAGTTAAAGCAATGGCAGTTTATCTCCTTTCCACACTTCTGTCCACCTTAGTTTGCTGGAGCCTCTAAATCATGTTGTCCTTGCTTAAAGGGCCAGGCTGAGTCTTCACCATATGAAATGTCACTGGTCACTGCCTATAAAAGGGACATGGCAGGTATACAGTGACTCTTAAAGGCTCTTACATGATCACTCTTACACGATCCTCGTCTGTGTATGCACATGTATGGGCACTGCTGAGTCAAAGAATACTGTATGTGTATCTTTTTTAAATACAGTACTAAGGATTGAACCCAGGGTCTTTTCTTTTTTTAGGGTCTTTGTCTTTGTTTTTATTTTGAGGCAGGGTTTTGCTAAGGCACTAAGTTGCCTAGGCTGGGCTCAAACTTGTGATCTTCCTGCCACAGCCTCCCAGAATGCTGGGATTACAGACATGTATCACCACATCCAGCTAGTATATATATCTTTCAATAAATAAGAACTGCTAAGTTGCCCTCCAAAAAAAGTACCAATGGATTTTCTTACCTAGTTTATGAGCCTGTCGTGGCCAACACTGGATATCAGCACTAAAATAGTCAGCACTGTTGATAAGTGAAATTGGTATTTTTATTATATTGTACCTTCCATATCCCTAGCTGATAGTAAGTTTGAGCTGTGTGTGTGTGTGTGTGTGTACGCAGATCATGCTCTCTCTACTTTCTGCATGTGATTTTTTGTGTTACCATTCCACACATTATCACACTTAAGAATTGGCTTTGCTCATGAGTTTAATTAAGTTTTATGGTATTAAAACACAGGTACACAGGGAATGTAATTAAAGGTGTTATAAACATGGGCTCCTACAACTATCTTGGATTTGCACGGAACACTGGCTCATGTCCAGAGGCAGCTGCCAAAGTCCTAGAGAAGTATGGAGTTGGAGTATGCAGCACACGGCAGGAAATTGGTGAGTGTAAGCTGAGTTTGGGCAGCTGCTGTTTTTGACTTTTTTGAGGGGAGGGATTTGAGACAGGGTCTCCCTGTGTAGTTCAGGGTGGCCTTATACTCATTTTGTACCCAGGTTGTCCTCAAACTTGCAGTGATCCGGCTGCCTCAGCCTCCCTACGGCTGGAATTAGGCATGTACCACCATGTTTGACTGCTTTTGACTTTTTAAGTTCTGGAGTAAGTACTACTGAATCAGAGCTCAAGTATAAAACATGCAAATACTTTGCCATATACTTTAGATCAGGTAAAAATGCTTTCTTTTTCTGAAGTGATAAATGATTTTAATGTTCACAACACATTTTGAGATATGTTTTCCAATATGTTACACATACGGAATGTCCCTAGAAAATTTCTTTATTATTTGTTTCGTTTGTGGGGCTGGGGATTTAGCTCAGTGGCAAAGTGCTTGCCTGGCAAGCGCAAGGTCGTGAGTTCGATTCCTGGTACCAGAAGAAAAACATAAAAAACAAAAACAAACTTTATAATATTTGTTTCATTCGTAATGCTGATGTTGATTTTATTAGCTTTTGCAAATGATAATGGTTAGAGGTACATGGCTATTATTAATCTTTTTATTCTGGTAAATTTTAGCTAATAATAATTACTGTCTTATAGAGCTGTTGAAAAATATTTTTAATAAGCTGTCATATAAAGCATTCAGAACATAGTAGACATTCAGTAAATGTAAGCCCTTTTTTGTTCCAAATCTATAAAATATAAGGTATTATAGTTTTATAAAAAGACATTTGTTTAAACAGTTCAAAGAAGGATTTCAAATTCTTCTGTCTTGTTCCAGAGAACTGATAAGCTTAGAAGTTATAAGACAACTTCCTGGATACTTACTACTGTGAATCACTCCAAAATTTAGTAGATTACATTGACAGTGTGTTCACTGTTAGTTCTCACAGGCACTGTGCTATGCATCTGGGTGGTTATCACTCAGAGCGCCTCACACAGTTGCAGTCCGTGTGGGTCTGTTTCTGGAGTCCTGTGAAGGAGTCCTCATTCATGTCTCTCCTGGGCTGGACTGGCTGCTGCTCTGTGCTGCCTTTCACTAGCTTGGGCTTCTTCACAGCATAAAGGGCTCCGAAAATCACTTATTTTAGTGGCTGCAGGCATTCCCTGGAGTAACGGTCCAGGATACCTGACTGAAAGCTGGGAAGGAAGCCTTTTATGCCTCAGCCTTTAGGTCCAAACTATGCATCCTTTTATTGGTCAAAGCCAGTCACTGAGGACAGCCCAGAGTCAAGGGTTGTGGGGATTAAGCTCCGTATTGAAACATTTGCATCCAGTTTAATACACCATAACTGCTTGGTCAACTCAGTAAATATAAAACAACATGAAGAATTGTGCAACTTTCCATATTGTCTAGTTTATATTGTTTAATTGGGCTTTTCAAGTGGGATTTCTTAGTTTAGCCATGGGTGCTATAGCAACTCCGAATGTTCTCTGGAAGAACTGCTTTGTTTCCTGGCCTACAGCAATTACACTCAAACCTCCTGACATCCAGAATTTCAGAAACCAGTTTCTCTTGCTTTTCCCAGGAAAGCGCTGGATAATAAGCTGTACTAGTAAGTGGGAGTTTGTGAAAGTTTTTGACATAAAAGTCTAAATTTTTAAAAGTTTGGGTGTAAATAAGAAATGGGGTATCCTTTTGCAATCTGAAACATGATTTGAAGATTTTTACATGAAAGTTTTTAATTTCTCTGATCCCATACCAATTTAATGGTGGGAGACTTAGTTGGATCTTTGCTCCATCTAAATTCTTAGCTATTAGCCAGCTTCTAGGAGGAAGAGCTTCGAAGACATGAAAGCTATTTTTTTTTTTTAATGTAGTCTGCTCAGTACCGTTAGATATTTCCTTAACATAACTCCAGCCTGCTCCTGAGTCAGGTTAGACTGGTGGCTCTCCAGTTCTCCTGTACAGTTGCACTCTGGTACTTCTTTTCTTCAGGAGGAAGGGGAGGGTAAACTGAGGCATTTCCTTTCCCTCTCCTCTGATTTGGATTCCTTATTTCCTGTATCCCTAGAAGGTAAGACCTTTTCTTTCCCTTAAATGCATTAAGACATTCCATTTGTGCCTTGGTCTGAGTCTTTTTCTTCCTCTTGTTGTGCTGTGTTTCTTGTTGGATCCTTAGAAATAGAAAAATGTCCTCTGATTATGTGATATTTCCTTAAGCAGTTTCTCAATTTTCACTTTCAGAACCATCTCTTTATAACCCCTTAGAATTTATCTTTTAATGGTTTTTTCTCTCTTACATTTTTCTTTTGGTTTCTGAGAAATTTAGCGTACAGATCCTATTTATGTCAACTTTCCTTTAATCACCTTTTTCAGCCTATCACTATTATATATACACTTTTATGTCTGGTGTCCCTGAGGAAAGAATAATATATTGTATTTACTTGAGTGGGTGAGAGAAGGCAGAATTACTTGCCTGGTTTTTTTTGTTTTGTTTTGTTTTTTTTTGTCTTTTTGAGACAGGGTCTCACTATGCAGTTCAGGCTGGCCTTGAGCTCACGTTATATCCCAGGCTGGTCCCAAACTCACAATGATCCTCCTGCCTCAGCCTCCTGAGTGCTGGGATTACAGGCATGCGCCACCACGCCTGGCTCTACTTGCCTGTTTGGGTTAACTTTTGTTTTTCTTTTAATACCTTTATTGAGATATAATTCATGTCATATAATTTGCCCACTTAAAGCATACGCTTCACCATTTTTTAGTACATTCACAAAGCTTTGCAATCATCCCCACAATCTAATGTTAGAATAGTTCATCCTCCCTGAAAGAAATACCATACCCATTAGCATACTTTTTTTTAAAAAACCTTCTTTGTTTATTTTTTTTTTTTTAATTTTAAAGAGTAAAGGAAGGACAACATAGCAATAGGGGGATTCACCGAATTACAAAGTGGTAGGACATTATCAGTGGTTGTTATTTTTCCTATTAGTATCTTCAAGATAGTTTCTCAGGAAAACAAATGGACAAATAATAGTGAGTTACAGACAAAAATGGCAGGAAATTATCAGTGGTTGTTATACTATAGCTTAGATTCTCCAAAGTGGTCTCTAGGTAGAGCTATACATGAGTGATCAATCAAATAATCATTGACTATTCTCAATGGTTGTTGAAAACACATAGTAACAAACATACATCCATTTACAAAATAGCTTAGGAACAATACAAACATTACAGAGTTATGGACAGATTGGTAGGAAATCAATGGCTACTGCAAAACACGTTGGCATCCTCAAAGAGGTTTCTCAGGAAAACAAAGTTGTACGAGAAAGATCCAGCAAGTAGTTATAGCCCAGGGTTGCGAAAAATAGCGGATTACCTCCTTATCAGTGACTCCCCTCACTGAGGTGTGACGGCTAGAAGGCAGGCCAGGGCTGAAAAGAAGGACCAGGAGACCAGCACCAGTGTCCACCAATGGGCCGTCTACTTTTTCCGCTATAGTCATGATTTCATGGGGCCCCTCCTTGGAGACAACAGTCCTCCATGAAGGCGGTTCTACAGAATCTGAATATTGGGCACCCATGTAATCCATGAAGTCTCGGTGCAGACCTCCGGAGTTCCACTCACTCCTCCACCGCAGCCTGTACACCGCAGCCTGTACCTCCAGGGGCTCTCCCTGGGTATTGTGCAAGGTCCTCCTGGCTTCCAGCTCCCGAACGGCTCTCGCGGCCCCAGTCAGCTCGACCTCTGAGTCGTCACGTGTCGGTACTCTCGTGATCTCCAAGTCCTTGTTCATCAGCTGCTCCTCCACTAACTCCGGACCTTTCTGGCTCTCAAGGGCAGGGCCAAGAGCGACACGCCATGTGGCACGTTTTCCCAGCGGTTTCTCCATGTCGGAATGGTTCATGCACGTCTCTGAGCGGGCCTGTTGTGTTGGTGCTTCTCTGTGGCATGGTGGTTCTCGACCTCGTGGTGGCATTTCCGCGCCATTTCCCTGGCACCTGCTGCCTGCCTTTCTGGGTGCCTGTGTGACAGGGCTGCACCAGGCTAGGACAGCCAGCGCGCCCCAGCTCCACACGGCCTCCCTTCCCTGGGCGGGCGCCTGCCCATTAGCACACTTTGTAATATACACTCTCTCCGAGTTCCTGGCGACCAGTAGTCTACTTTCTGTTCTTATGAATTTTCCTACTGTAAATGTTTTTTGTAAATGGAATCATTTAATATTGTGGTTTTTGTGTCTTTCATTTAACATAATGTTTGTAGGACTGACCTATATCATAGGATGCATTAGTACTTCATAGCATGCCTCAATATTCCATTCCTTAAAAAAAAATTCCATTCCTTTTGTTTTGTTTTTGTTTTTTGAGACAGGGTCTCACTATGTAGTTTAGTCTGGCCTTGAATTCACTATGTAGGCTAGGCTGGGCTCGAACTTGCTGCAATCCTCCTCCTTCAGCCTCCTGAGTGCTAGGATTACAGGTGCATGCCACCATGCCTGGCCTCCATTTCATTTTATGACTGAATAGTTACTTATTGTAAGTACACTGTGTCCTATTTATCCATTTATCTCTAGACAGACATTAGGGTTGTTTCCACATTTTGGCAATGGGGAATAATGCTGCTATGAACATGAGTCTCGCTATGTAGTGCAGGCTGGCTTTGACCATGATTATGTAGCCCAAGGTGGCTTCGAACCCATGACAGTCTTCCAGGTGAGTGGTAACACGCCTGGCCCGATTTAACTCTTAAATCATTTTCTATCTGTAATTAGTTTCCTATGGCTGCTGTTACACAGTACAAGTATGTAGAACATGAAATTGGGTGACTTAAGATAATGCTTTATAATCTCGTAGTTACAAGTACATAGCACAAGAAATTGGGTGATTTAAAACAATGCTTTAGGTGGGCATGGTGCTGCATGCCTGTAGTCCCAGCACTAAAGAGGCTGAGGCAGGATGATTGCTGTGAGTTCAAGGCCAGCCTGGGCTACGTATTTCAGAACCAGTCTGAACTACACAGAGCGCCAGTCTCAAAAAACTTTGAAAAAAGACAACACTTTATAATCTTGCAGTTCTGTAGACTAGAAGTGTGGGGTCACGGTGTCAGCCGGCCCCTGTCCTATCTGCCAGCCCTAGAGGACAACCCTTCCTTGCATCTGGTGTTTGCCAGCAGACCTTGCTACTGCGCCTTGCTGTGGTTGCATGGCTATGTTCCTGCGTGTTAAACATTATCTTCTTTTGTGCCTCTGTGGATGTTTGTTTCCGTGGGCAAATCTCCCTTTCCTATAGGGACATTGGCACCACCGCAATGGGCTTCTTTTATCTAGATTACTTCTGTAAAGACCCTGTTTCCAAAAAGTCTTTTCTGAGGTACAATGGTTAGGACGTCAAAATATCCATTTTTGTGGTTATTTTCTTTTGTTTTGGTACTGAGGGTCACCCAGGCGCTCTGCCTGCTAGGCAAGTACTTTGTCTCTGAGCTGTGCGCCCAACCCTCAAGTTACCTTTTTAGTGGAACCCAGTTCAGCCCATCCTGTGAATTACAGATGTCCACGAACATGACATAGTCTTGTTCTCCCAGTTCTTTTGTGATGTTCTCAAACAGGAAAGTGGGAGTAGAATTTTTTAATCTCCCATCTTTAAAACTAAGTTTCTGGCTGATGCTGCAGAAATCACAGGCTATTTAATTTAATCATGGGTTAAGGAGTGCTGGATAGTGACGAAAGGCAGAAAGCACACTTTATATCTTTATGACATTGTGCATTTTATAAAGTGCTTGAACATGATTTCATTTGGTCCTCACAATAGTGTCATGAAGTAGAGAGGCCAAAGTGTTACTGGTACTTAGCAAGTGAGAAACGGGCCCAGAGAGAGTATAAGTGACGCCGTTAAGCCTTAAACACCCATCCTGCTGTCAAGTTTAGCAGTCTTCTTTCTCAGCATTTTTTGTTTCTGCAGTATTACTATTGTAATATTATATTAGGACTAACATTACTTAGTCCTGAAGGATTTGAGTATCAATTTTAAAAAAGGCAGTGCAAATTTACCAGTCAGGTCAGAGTGAGAGAAGGTGTTTTTTTACCTGTCTTATGCTCTATAACAACCATCTTAAAACTTAGTCATTTAAAACAACAGAGGGCCTGAAAGTGTAGCTCAGTGCTAGAACACTTCCCTGGCATGTGTAGGTCCCTGGGTTTCATCTCCAACACCACAAATAAAGAAGTACAACAAATTTATTTGCTTGTGATTTTATAATTTGGGCGGGGCTTGATACTGTCTTGGCTCCGTATGGTGTCAAGTGGGCCATTACGACTGAGGGTAGTGCCCAGGATGGGTTAGTTTACATGGGTGGTACCTCCGCTGGGCGGTGGAGCTGCCAAGGGCGAGCTGGGGCTCTTCCGTCCCCCTCCCCTGCCCTCACTCCCTCTTCCTGTTTCTCTCTCTCCAGAGTCTTTTATCCTCCAGAGCTCCTCTTTCCCTATGTTCTGCTTCTACAGCAGGCCAGCTACAGTTTTGAATGGTAGGGGACTTAGAAGTATGAAAACAAAATTTGCTAGGCCTTTCAAGGCTTAGAGTTGGAACTGGCATGTGCAGACATGAAATTGTGGGCAACCCCTCCTTTACCACAAGTGCTGGATCGGAATTTATTCAGCTGTTGTGTTCTTTATAAGGTATCATGCTTTGTAATACTGACTCCTTCATAGAAGTTAGTCTGAAAGATCATAATACACAGATTGATTTTTATAAAATGGTAATTCTTAAATTTAGAATTCCATGATATTGACTTTGTTAACTTCTTCACACAGGAAACCTAGACAAGCATGAAGAACTAGAGAAGCTTGTAGCAAGGTTCTTGGGAGTAGAAGCTGCTATGGCATATGGCATGGGATTTGCAACAAATTCAATGAACATTCCTGCGCTTGTTGGCAAAGTAAGACACTTTGTCATTTGTGAAAATTCCCGATTTTTATTATTATCATCATTATTTCACCTCTTCCTCCTCCTCTTCTTCTTCCTCCTCTTCCTCCTCTTTTTTTTTGTTAAAGCATTCAGGCTAGGTGATGTGGCATGCACCTGTCACCCCACCACTCAGGAGGTTGAGGCAGGAGGATCACCATGAGTTCAAGGCCAGCCTGAACTACATAGTGAGGTTCTGTCTCAAAAACCCAAAACATAAAAATAAATAAAGCATTTAAGCTGGGCATGGTGGGGCACACCGGCAATCCCAAGCACTTGGGAGACTGAGGCAGGTGAATTGCCACAAGTTTGAGGCCAGCCTGGGCTACATAATAAGACCCTGTCAAAAGAAAGGAAAGAAGGAGAGAGACAGAGAGAGAGAGAAGGGGGAGAGAAGAAAGGGAGGAAAGGTGGAAGGATGGATTCAGAATGAGCTATGAACTGTTTTTAACTTCAGACTAAGCACAGTTTACCCCAAGAGATTTCTATCACAGATTTTCGGACAGCTGTATCACATGGAGCCTTGTTAGTTGCGGCTTTCTTGCTAGAACCTATGATCTTCCCCTCCTTGATTAGATGACTCTTGTTTCTTCATTTCATACACAGTTCTGAAGAGATTCTGATAAGAAACATTTCTAAAAGACTAAAATTATGAAAGTTTTTGTTCAGAAACTTATTGAATAGGTGGTTTTTCTTAAATAGAAAAATATGAAAACGCAATATCAAACATAGTCAAATTATCTGTAAATATATATTAATCTAAAAGATTTCAGCTTAAGGAATATTTTTGAGGATAAAAAAGAATATTGTATAAGGATAAAGGAGGTAATTCATCAAGATGGATAGGCACCTAATAACAGAGTTTCAAAATAGAAACTGATGAAACTTAAGTAAGCAAATGCAGAATTGTAGTTAGAGATATCAGCACCCCTCTCTCAAGTGATAGAACCTAACAGAAGATCATTATAGTTACAGATGTAGAACACTCAGAAAGACTACCAAGCAGTTGACCACTTTATTATGAAATATTTCACCCAACAACAGCAGAGTATTTACCAAGGCAGACCATACTTAAGGCTATTAAGCAAGAGTTAATGCATTTTAAAAGTATTGAGGTTATTCAAAATATGTTCTTTGACCACAGTGAAATTAAATTAGAAATCAGTAACACACTGGGTGTGGTGGTACCTGCCTGTAATCCCAGCGGTTAGCAGGTTGAGGCAGGAGGATAGCCACAAGTTCAAAGCCAGCCTGGGTTATATAATGAGTTCAAGAGCAGCCTGCCCTGCATGGCGAGACCCTGTCTCCAGGAAAAAGGAAAGCAGTAACACAAAGCTTTCATTTGAAAATTAAATCACATACTTTTAGAATCCATGGGGCAAAGATGAAAAAAACTAAGGGAATATAGAAAATATTGCAACATTAATGGAAACATATCACAATTTGTAGGATAAAGCTAAATGCAGTGCTCAGATAAAAATGTTTAGCATTAAATGCTTTTGTTAGGAAAAAAGAAAGGTTTTTACCTTAATAAAACAATAATAGAACAAACTAAATAGAAAGAAATAGTAATAAAGATAAATATAAGAATTAGTGAATCAGATAATAGGGGAAATGAGTAAAAACTAATTCTTTTCAGAAAACGAATAAAATTGATAAATCTTTAGCCAGACTGATCAGGATAAAAGGAAAGAAAGCACACATACTAGTAGCAGGAGAGAGAGAGAACATCACTACATATCCTACAGACAATAAAGGTATTTATTGGGAATGTGAAGAGTAATATAATGCCAATAAACACTGCTTGTATAAAATGGATAAATCCTTGGAAGATTTGTGTAGTTCTTTAACTTTACTTTCACTGTATTACATTGCTGTCCTGCATTCTGGCAGTATAAACCTGGGATTCTTACTAGGAATTTCTTAGGGATTTTTACACTGGAGAATTAAATAATCTCATTTTAATTTTGCCTTTATGCTCATAGAGTTATCTAGAATTACATTTCTTCTACAAAGATGTGGAAGGCACTACCTTGAAGGTCTCTTTTCCAAATCAACTGAAATGCTATTAAATACCACTTACTCTGTTAAGGGCTGTGACTGATCTAGTTTAGTCATTCTTAGAATCTAATACTGAATTTCTCTGTGGGGTGGTTGATTGTATCATAGTAATAAGACTACATGGTGTAGAGGCCGAAACTTTTTTTCAAGTCACTAAATTGTGACCTTGGGCAAGAGTTTTAACACCTGCCTGAGAGTTTCTTCATATGTTATGGGGATTATAATGATCTGTTTCAGAGTGTTACTTTGACTTTCTTGTGTCATAAAATGCCTCAAGATCATCTTGTATTTGCCCTGTAACAGCTTGGGAATCAACCAGCTCTCCAGGGAACTCCAGGGTTTTTATTTATGGGAAAATCTTATTTAGAAACCAAGGTCTAGGAACCAGGTGTACCTTTTGCTGCAGGGTTTTGCTGCTTCTCAAGGCTCAGTGGATAGATCTAGAAAATAAGTGTTGTGTATGTATACTAGGTCTTGCATATACACATATCTGTGTGTGAATATAATATATATGGATTTTTAAAATCAGTTCACTTTCATAGCTCCAGCTCCGCTTTTTTAATCTATATATTTTTAACTAGGTATAAAACTAGATATAAAAACTATGCACAGTAAAAATACACAGATAGAATGTCCTTTAGTAAATAAATATAGGTGGGTAAATAGGCCAACTGACCGACTGACACATAACCTATATACATCTTTTATTCTGCTTGTAGCATGTTATATGCCTTTTGCACTGTTTCTGTTTTTTCACATAATTGGATATATTGAAGCCATATTTGATGGTGAAAACTTGTTTCTAGGTTCATATGTTATAGGCTGAGGGACCCCACAAAAGATGGAAGTGTAAAAACTGGGAAAGAAATTTTTTTAAAAAGCCTTGGCCTTTTCTTCTTGTCTTAGCAGAAATCCATTTTCGTATGTTAAAGCTTATTTGGAGATTTTAAGTACAAAGCTGAGGCTTAATACACCGTATGGGGTTTATACCCAGGATCCTTCTTGGACTCTAGGTATTGTTAGTGAGAGAGAAAGAACACCATTTCTACAGGCACTAACTTGCAGCGTCTATCTCCCACAAATAATACATCACTTCAAAACTCAAATACAGTTCTCTCAAGTCAAAGCCAAAATCTTTTAAAGACTGTGCTGTCTCAGATTTTAAGTATAAATAAGAACCTGTTGTTATGTATCTGAATATTTAAGTTAGTCACAGGACTGTGGATATTAAGTAGGCTAGGATTTTGTATTTCCTTCTGTCTTTGTAAAAACAGTATGTACTTTTTCTTAAAATGGATCACTTTGCTATTGTGGAAAATTTCTTTCATAAGGTATAATTATATTGTAATTTGTGTCACTAACCCATTCCCTTCCACTGTCTGCCTTCCTGTGCTTGTGATTCTGCAGGGTTGCCTTATTCTGAGTGATGAACTGAACCACGCATCACTGGTTTTAGGAGCCAGACTGTCTGGAGCAACTATTCGAATCTTCAAACACAACAGTGAGTTTGTCATAAAATGCACCGCTGGCCTTAGTGGTTAAAAGTCTCTTGTCAGTGGTCATGTTGCATTAGTTACACTAACAATTGAAAATACAAATGAAGCTGAAATAGAACATTTACAATGTTCTTTTGAACCAGTCTTTAAAAAGTTACTCTTTTCCTTATTGGAATAAACAGAGGTTGAAGGAAGTCTTTTATGCAAAATATACTCTCCTTTTATTTGACTTTCAAATTTTCCATCCCATTTTCCTCATTCAGATCCACTTACTAGATGCCAACAGTGTATCTTGCTGCGCCTCTAGGGAAATCAGGATGAGTAAATTAGGATACCTCCCTAATTTCAAGAATCTCTGGTTAATGAAGAGATTAGCAGATAACCTGGCACTTAACATACAAGACACTCTGAAGTGCAGAGATGGACAAATGCAGTTAGAGTGGAGGAAAAGGGGCACAAAGCCAAAACCTTTGCTCCGTAATTGGAAACACATGCCTTTGTGTATTATTAAAATAATAGCCGGGTGTGGTGGCACAGGCCTGTAATCCCAGCACCTGGGAGGCTGAGGCAGGAGGCTTGCCATGAGCTCAAGGCTAGCCTGGGCTACATAGTGAGTTCAGGGCCAGTCTGAACAACATAGCGAGACCCTATCACAAAAAGCAAACAAACAAACACACTTAAAATGAACACCATAATTTTAGTAGTTAAAACACACATAGGGAGAAAAGATGACCAAACTCTGTATTAATATCTTCTTTGGCCAGAATGTGTGGACATACAGATCCAAGTCTAGAAGAATATGTACCAAAATGTTAGGTCCATACATACCTATGGAAGGAAGGACTAATAATGGTAGTAACTTTTTTTCTCTTGTCTAAAATATTTTATAACCAGGTATGGTGGCACATACCTGAATCCTAGCACTGGGAAGGCTGGGGCAGAAGGATCACTGTGAGTTTGAGGCCAGTCTGGGCTATGTAGTGAATTATAGGCCAGCCAAGACTACATAGAGAGATCCTGTCTCAAAAAACAAAAAAGTTTTAAGATGAGAACGGTGTGTTACAGTGTTTTGCTATTTCGCATTGTGTGAATGAAACCATGTTAAACATGGTTGTGTAATCTGTTTGTTTGTTTGTTTTTAAATACATTTTAAATGTGGGTTGTCAGTCCTGGTAGCATTCATCTTTTAATGCCAGTGTGCAGTCAGTATCAGGGTATGCCGTAAGTTAATTGGTCCCTCGTTTGGGCCTCAGCTTGTTTCTGCGTGTTTCTAGTAGAAACAGCGCTATACCCACACTCTCACGCACCTGGCTAGTTCCTAGCAGTCTCAGATTGCTGGATTAAAGGTCAAAAATTTTTAAGACTTCTCCCAAATTACCCTTAAGCATTGTACAAACAACACAGCAGGGGCTCTTCTCACTGGCCGGCGTGGATTGTTGTATATCGAGCCAAATCTTTCTGAATCTAATAAGTAAATAATATGTTCATTTTTATTTCTTTGATTATTAGATCTAGAACAATTATATAGAGTTACTGTATTTATAAGTAGGCCATTTTCAAACTGTTTCTTTTTTATACATGACAAGACCCTTTTACTGTCCTTTTTTTATGTTGCACTATATTTTCATTTTGTTTAATGTCTTGCCATACAGACTCATTTAAATGTTTGCATAGTCAGGAGCAAATCCTGGCACTTTGGGAGGCTGAGGCAGGATTGCAAATTTGAGGCCAGTCTGGGCAGTTTAGCAACTTAGTGAGACTCTGTCTCAAAATAAAAAGTAAGAAAAGGGCTGGGAGTATGTGTAGTTCAATATGAAGGCCCTGAATTCATTTCTCAGTACCTCATACACACAGTGTGTTTGAGAGGTTGAGGCAAGAGGATCATTGAGACCGTCTCAAAATAAAGTAAAAAGTGCTGAGGCTGTAGCTGAAAGCCAGGCCTAACTTCAATCCCCAGGACCGCAAAAGTAAAAACTTAAAATAAAATTTTTATGTTGACACACTTTTTATCTTACAATTTTTGGATTTGACAATGCATTCTTCATTCTAAGATTATTCTACTTTTTTCTAGAAGTTCTGTGGCATATTTTAAATTTATGTGGAATTTGGGAGCATAATATGAGATTGACTTTTCTCTGAAGTAGTTAATACAGTTGAGCATTCTGCAATAGGTAGTTCCTCTTGTGTAAAATTTGAATAAATATTATTCTCCTTTCTAAATATAAACATAGGAAACTCAGGGGCTGGGGATTTAGCTCACCGGCAAAGCGCCTGCCTGGCAAGCGCAAGGTCGTGAGTTCGGTTCCCGGTACCGGAGAAAAAAAAAAAAAACAAAAAAAAAAAAAAAAAAAAAACATAGGAAACTCAAGTACAGCTTTTACTTGTCTCTTGCTGATTGCCGCATACTACTGTTTGCAGCAGAAACAAATAGTTAAGACACCTCTGGTTAAGACGTTTCTTCTGTGGAGAAATGTCTGTCTTGCTAGGTAGTATGCAGCTTATGTTGCAAATAACAGAAGGTGCAAGCAGAGTTGCAACCTTTGGCTGTCTTATTTCTGTTTGTGGGGTGTGTGTGTGTGTGTGTGTGTGTGTGTGTGTGTGTGTGTTTGTGTTTTGTTTATTTTGTGGGGTTTCTTCCTTCCCCCAGTAATGCAAATTGAGGCCAAGGCCTTTCTTATGCTAGCCAAGGGCTCTGCTGAGCCATACTTTTTTTTTGTTGAGACCAGGACTTGCTATAAATTGTCTAGGCTGGCTACAGATTAGTGGCGCACACTGCAACTCTTAGTCTGTGATACATATTTTTATTTCCTTTTCCTTTCTATCAGAGTTTGGGTGTGTGTGTGTGTGTGTCTGTCTGTCTGTCTTACAGAGTCTGTGTGTGTGTGTGTGTGTGTGTCTGTCTGTCTGTCTTACAGAGTGTGTGTGTGTATGTGTGTGTGTGTGTGTATGGGTGTGTGTGTCTTACAGAGTCTTACTATGTACTTTAGACTGGCCTTGAACTCATTGTATGGTCCCGGCTGGCCTCAAAGTCCTTGTATGAAAAGAGCAAAATCATCTAATTTTGTAACCCCTTCCTCTAGTAACAAGCACTAAAAATACAGTCAGGTTTTGTGATGTCTCTCATGCCTATTGAATATACATCACAATGTTGCTTATAGATTTGGGGAAAATTTTTAAGGACTTCACTTCAGAATAAATAAAAGTATGAAGCTATAGTGGTAGCCCAGTGATCTTCAAGGGATATGTCTTTTAACGGGAAAATTAGCATCCTTATGAATGGTAATCCCACCAGATTGTCTTGTAGGCCTGTTAACCACCTTAAGGACCAGCAGAGTCATAAGAACTTGCTGATATATAGACAGCTGTTGAAGTTAAATGTGGAACAATCTCAACTGATTGTCAAATTCCCAAAACACATAGATTCACACATGTTTCAGACTGATGTATTTTTAACCCAGTACCAAGATAAGGTTTGTTAACAAAGCATTTATTGAGTAAGTCTCAGGTGAAGGGAAGTAGGTCATACACTTTAAAGTTGTTCCCTCCCTATTTGTTTTTTAGGAGGTATATGTATTTGCAGTTCTTGCTAGGTCTTCTTTATGCTTTTATTTATAAATGACTCACTAATTTTAGATATAGTCTGATTCTAAAGGTAACTCAAAGGTGAAACATTTAGCATGAAACATTGGTCATTTCATAAGCATGCTAAGCAACTAAAGCAATCAACCAACAGTCTTTTTTTTTTTTTTTTTTTTGGTGGTTCTGGGGGTTGAACTCATGACCTCGTGCTTGCCAGGCAGGTGCTTATGCCACTGAGCTATTTCCCCAGCCCAATCAACAGTCATTTAATCAGGCTGAACATTTATATTTCAGTTCAAGGTGGCAGCAGTTGACCCATTTGCCTTATCTTTTTCTGTTGAACTCTGATTATGTTGCTGTCCTCTGCTGTTTGAACCATACTTCCTGATTGAGAAATAGAGAATTTTCGAATAAAGTTAGGGAGGAAGACGATGCTTTGTGACTCAATTTTTTTGTTTGTGTGCTTTAGATATGCAAAGCTTAGAGAAACTGTTGAAAGATGCCATTGTTTATGGTCAGCCTCGGACACGAAGGCCCTGGAAGAAAATTCTAATCCTCGTGGAAGGAATATATAGGTAATCCTGTTTCACTGGTCTTATCTGTGTGTCTTAAAGTCAGAATTCTTAAACTGAAGAGAACACTAGACTAGCCCCATCTGGAAACTAAGGAAATAGTGTTTATAACTTTTAAAATACATAGTAGAACTGAGGTCCAATGGCGCATACCTGTAATCCCAGCACTTGGGAGGCTGAGGCAGAAGGATCACTGTGAGTTGAGGCCACCCTGGGCTACATAAGCCAGTTCAAGGCCAACCTGCACTGCATTGTGAGACCCTGTCTCAAAAATGCAAAACAATAAAATACCTAATAGCAGATTTCGCACTGGAACAGAACAGAAACCGTTTTGTCTGAATACTACATAGTCTACAAATTCCCCTTTCTATGTAGGTCCTTTATTTTTCTACTGTTTGTAGGGTGAACTTTATACATAGGGGCAAGAACATAGATTCTAAGCCAGGCTGGTGACTCACACCTGTAATCTCACTCAGCCTGTAATCTTCATTCAGGAGACAGAGGCAGGAGGATCACTGTGAGTTTGAGGCCAGCCTGGGCTACACTGGAGTTGAAGGCAGCCTGAACTACATAGTGAGACCCTGTCTCAAAACTAACAAACAAACAAACAAGATTCTAATATGTCAAAACAAGTTATATACTGTTTATTTCTAAGAAATATTTTTCTTTGGTTAACTTTTACAGGTTTTTGGTTTTTTTTTTTTTTTTTTTTGGTCTTCTTGACACAGGGTCTTGCCATGCAGTTCAGGCTGGCCTTGAGCTCAACTTGTAGCCCAGCGTGGTCTCGAACTTGCAGTGATCCTCCTGCCTCAGCCTCCCGAGTGCTGGGATTATAGGCATGCGCCACCACGCCCAGCCTATCATCCTTTTACTTAATGTTTTACTTCCTTTTTTATTCTTTTGTGTAATTTTAATTGCATGTGCAACACAGTACAAAGTCTAATGTTGTCTAAAACTGCAGGCTTTAGAAGAATCTGCTGTGACCTTAACTCTGTCATAGATGAAGATCAGTTGTCTTCTGGCACTTGTCTTAAAAGATTTAATCTCCTTTTCTCTAGACTGTCTAACCACGGCTTCATCTGACTTTGTCACTTGGAACCATAGATGCATGAACTAAAAACATAAATAATGAAGTGGACAGTTCCTAAATTTGAGAGTATAAAAAGTCTCAGTGCATGTATTTTTTTTTTTAAATCCTGTTTTGCCAGTATGGAGGGGTCTATTGTTCGGCTTCCTGAAGTGATTGCCCTCAAGAAGAAATACAAGGCTTACCTGTATCTGGATGAGGCTCACAGCATTGGGGCCCTCGGCCCCACAGGTCGAGGTGTGGTGGAATACTTTGGCCTGGATCCTGAGGATGTAGATGTTATGATGGGAACGTTCACAAAGAGCTTTGGTGCTTCTGGAGGATACATTGGAGGCAAGAAGGTAAATGGGTCTTGAAAATGGGTGATTAAAGATGAAGATGGTGGCTACTGGATTTGCTCACTGTTTAGTAGATGGGGACCCAAACTAAGGTGCAGAGATCCCCGATTTGTGGCTTAGGGTCCCACTGCCAGTAGACTTCCCAGTTTATCTGCACGGGGAGCATCTCTTATGTCTCCTCACTGAGCTAAAGGCAAGTTCTGTTCATTGTTGTTTTCTTGTTTGAGGTTCTTTCTAAACAGGGATTCTAGCCCAGATACAGAATACTCTCTTTTGTGAAGGAACACACTGGCGTTTCCTGTTTGCTACTCTTCTGTTGGGTTTAAGCTCTGCTTACAATTTTAAAGGGAATGGGGTTGTCATGAGAGCCAGTGGGAATAGACCAGTTGCCTTGCCCTTGTACTCAGGACACGTTATAGGTGCTTGTACACACAGAGAGAAGGAAGACTATAGCAGCTCTAGGGTACAACAAAACATTGTAGTTTTCAGTTTTAAAAATATATACCGCACTCCAAGGTAACTAAGAACATGGCAGTGGTGCACCGTGGAAAGAGGCCTGGATTTGACTATTTCTCCTCTTGCTTCTTGAGAGCTTGGGGATAGCACTGAAACTTTCAGTTTGCTTGTCGGTAAAATACAGCTAAGTATGCCTAGCTTGTAATATTGTAGTAAGGGTTTAAAAATAATGTTTTCTACAGTACAGCACAGGTGCACTTTGAAAACATCATATTAAGTGAAAGTCAGTCATAAAAGGTCACACATTGTATGATGAGTTCATTTTTTATGTTATATCCAGAATAGGCAGAGAAATAGAGAGTAAAGTTGTTGCCAGGGACTGAAGGGATGGCGAAATGGAAAGCAGCTGCTTATCAGTACAAGGTTTCCCTTTAGGGTAATGAAAATATTCTGATTAAATAGGAGTTTCATTGTATAGTTCTGAATATACTAAAAGCAACTGAATTGTACACTTGGAAAAGGTAAATACAACGGTATATTGTTCTCCATACAGCTGGGGATGTTTTTGTTTTTGTTTTGTTTTGGGGGGTTTTTTGGTCTTTTTGAGACAGGGTCTCGCTATGCAGCTCACTTTGTAGCCCAGGCTGGCCTCGAAATAGCTGTTATTTTAAAAAATTCACTACATTAGAAGACGTGGTCTATGTCAGGTATTTGTCCATGACATATAGTAGGTGATCATAAATGTTCTAAATTCCTCTGTAAAGCTCAATACTGACGTCTTAGACATTCACAGACTGGGGATACAGCTCAGTGGTAGAACACCTGCCTAAGTATATGTGAGGTCCTGGGTTCAAATTACAGCAACAGAATAGGGAAGGGGTTTAAATGGTAGCAAAGTTTTATTAAAGGTAGGAAAAGAAACAGGCTCTGCAGAGCAAGTTTGGGCCAAGTAAAAGTAGAAAAAGAAGTATACCCTACAGCATGAAGGTGGACCATCCATGCAGGAGAGAACACAGTGGCCTAGATATTTTTATTCTCAGATTTTATCCTTGTTGATAGTGGCACAGGCTCACTTTGAAAATTTAGCTGTTTTTTGGTATGATTTGTTGGTGTGAACCCAAAGATAGAAAAATTCTGGGAGATCGTGTAAATATAGTATATTGGGGCTTTGGGGTTTTTTGGGTACAATTTTTAGTATTTTAGAAGTAGATTATTTTATAGCCTATGAAATAACCATATAAGCTTGTATTTTGTATGTCTTTATTTGGTTTGGTACATAGGCTTATTGTGTGCACATTTTTTAAAAATTTAAGTAAAGTAAAAAGTACCAGAGGATAAGGATACACAATTATATTAAAAATCTTTGTAACTGACAAGGTTTTATTTTATTCAGTGAGGTGGCAGTTTTGTTTTAAATAAAGATCTAGTGAATATCTGCCACATACCATTTTATAAAATCTCCATGTATGTGGGGGATATTCTGATATCCTAACAATTGATATTTAATAACTGTCTTTCTATGTGTATGTGTGCTGGGCATTAAACCCAGGGCTTTGATCATGTATGCATGCACTCCACTACTACACTACACCCCCAGTTCAAGAGAACTGTCTATTTTTTTTTTCCCACTACCAGGAATCAAACTCATGACCTTGCGCTTGCCAGGCAGGCGCTGTGCCACTGAGCTAAATCCCCAGCCCAACTGTTTATTATTTAGGGGGACAAGAACGGGGCTTTACAGGCAGAGCGTGAAATGCAGGTGATGTTTTTTGTAATGCTATACTCAGGAGTAAAAATTGCTTTGTATTTTTAAAAAAGCAATCCAAACACCTTATTTAATTCAGCTTTGTACATTTACTTTTAACATATAAGTGATATGTTCTTCAAATTTAGAAAGATACTTTAAGATTAGTTTAAAAGAAAGAGAGAGAGAGGAAACCAGCCTAAGCACTTTGCCATGTTTCTGACCCAATTGTTCCTGTCTCTTTGCTTTGACCATTTGGTTGACCTTTCATCTCGGTTTACTCCAGGCCACTGAAAGGAGGAGGCCACTAGCATATGAAAGGAAAGCGCAAACTTTGCCAAATTATTTAAGAACTGCCTTTAACTGCCTTTCTTCATGAACTTCCCAGGAGCTGATCGACTATCTACGCACTCACTCTCACAGTGCGGTGTACGCCACGTCCCTGTCTCCGCCTGTGGTGGAGCAGGTAATCACCTCTATGAAGTGCATCATGGGGCAGGATGGCACCAGCCTTGGTGAGTTTTCTGTCTTTGAACCGTTTCCTAAACTCAGTGCTTACTTAGCAGCCAGTGTGCTCTTTTTATTGATTAGTATTTTATAGCCATGTTTTATTTTTTTTTATTTTTTTTATTTTTTTTGGTTTTTCTCTGGTACCAGGAACCGAACTCACGACCTTGCGCTTGCCAGGCAGGCGCTTTGCCGCTGAGCTAAATCCCCAGCCCCCTATAGCCATGTTTTATGCCTCTTTATTTGGGTTAATACCCAAGTTTCTTGGGTGCATATTTTATTTAAAGATTTAAGTAAAGTTCAAAGATACTTTTTCCCCTAAAATAAAAAGTCAGTTTTCCTGAAGGGCAGAGATGGCAGACTGGGAGGCCTCAGTTTCCATGTACACTTCATTGTGTTAGATATACATGTCCTGAGAGTGACGCTGGCTTCTTTCCTATGCGGTGTTACTTACAGATGGTGAGGCTTTCACTCTTACATGCCTTCTTAACTCATAAAGTATATATATGCCCTCAGAATCCTTCTTGAATTGGTTTTCTTTTTCTTATGGTACTGAGGATTGAACTCATGGACTCTACCACTGAGGTACATTGTCAGCCCTTCATTATTATTTTTTAAGTTACCCAGGCAACACTTAAGCTCATGATCCTTCTGCCTCAGCCTCCCAAAGTGCTGAGATTACAGGCATGTGCTACCATGCCCAACTTGAGTTGCATACTTCTATGTGAAGATAGAATGCGCTATGTAGTGATGTTTCATTAATAGTGTATTTAAGAGCTGCTGTTTCTATGAATAAGATGCTTGACTTAACATTTTTGAGAAGAGTTTCTGATTTAATATACAGGGAATAATGAAGGTCATCCTGGATGTTTGTCTTTGGTGGGATTTGTAGTTCAAACTAGATGCCCTGGCTTAAGTATACAAAAATGAATAATAAAGTCTGATGTTTTCCTTCTGATACTTAACTTCTACTGTGCGTCACCAGAGGGCAGTGTTGACTACAGATCAGTAACAATAAGAGGGAGCAATTGAAGCTGTGTGTGTTTGCTATTCTTAGCTTTAAAAGTATTTCCATTGCCAGTGTGAAACATTAATTTCCCATGTTTTTTAGTGCTTCCTTCCTTCTTTCTTTCTTTCTTTCTTTCTTTCTTTCTTTCTTTCTTTCTTTCTTTCTTTCTTTCTTTCTTTCTCTCTCTCTCTCTCTCTCTCTCTCTCTCGCTCTTTTGCTCTTTCTCTCTTTCACTCTTTCTCTCTCTCTCTTTTTGAGACAGGGTATCACTTTGTAGTGCAGTGCACTACATAGTGCCTAACTCACTATGTAGCCCAGGCTGGCCTTGAACTCATCATGGCAGTCCTCCTGCCTCAGCCCTCTGCATGCTGGGATTATAGGTGTGTGCCACCGTACCCAGCTTTTAATGCTTTTTAAAATTCAGTATAGATCTTACAAAAGATTTCACATTATTAGCCCTGATCTTTCTGCTTTATAGTTATATAATACTTTACTGTAAGATTGATTTGGTTTGCATTGCAAAATAAGAATAAAGTGTTTTATCTGATTTTGATTAAGACTGTTTTGTTTATTTTGTTTTGAGACAGGTTCTACTATGCAGTTCAGGATGGCCTTGAACTCATTTTGTAGCCCAGGCTGGCCTTGAATACTCAAGTGATCCTCCTGCCTCAACTAGCTGGTGTTACTGGTGTGCACCACCATGCCTGGCCTAAGACTTGTCTTAAGTCAGAATTTGTCTTAATACTTTTCCAATCTATCGTAGATCCTTGATAGCTTTAGGAAAAGATTTTTGGAAACAGCAAACTATGATCATCTTTAGTTTCATGAATTTGTTCTTTAGGAGGAAAATATTACATTAAGGTTTCACACATAGCAGTAGATACTTATGAGTAGCTCCATTATCAGTAGCTACATGTCTTTCTTTTTCTGATTTGGTGTTATTGGAAAAGTGCTTTTACCAGTGTATGTACAGAGAGAGGGACAGGGAGAAAAAGAAGAGAACAGAAAAAAGAAGTGTGAAAAAAAAAAAAAGAAGTATGTGTGCATGCATGTGCTTGTGCACACATGCACACACATGGTAGCATTTATGGAATTACTTTATTCACTAGGTACATTGACCTTACTGGTTCAGTGAACAGATTTAGGTGCTAAGAGAAGGCTAACACCTATCAAAGTTAATGCTGGATAATTTCTTTGGCCTGTCCCAGTACCTGGATCTGTGTGATGCATTACCTTGGATAAATGCCTTATCTGTACTAACTGATGGTGTCTGGTAAGAAATTAAGCATGGTGATTAGATAAAGGCTTGGATTTGTACTGATTTCTCATTTTTTGCTTCTCTGTCCACCCCCAAGTTATAGTGGCACGATGCAGTACCATCTTATGCTCACAGACTCTGTGGGTCGGGAGTTCACTTAGGACAGCAGGGATGGCTTGTCTTTGCTCCACAGTTTCTGCGGCTGGCTTGGAACACTCAGGTGGTTGGGGACTGGGATCATCTGGCAGCTTCTTCACAGTTCCCTGGGCTGGAGTGACTTGAAAGCTAGGCTCACAGGGCTGCAGGCCAGAGCACCTTCCCACGTCTTCTCTATGTGATACGGTCACTGGGTAGCCCGGTAAAGAAATGGGGTCACCAGAAAAGAAAGTATACTTAGAGAACAGGCGATCCAAAGCAACCTGGCCAAAACTTTATGACCTTGGGGGCACACATGTTATTGTGTTTTTCCTTTGAGACAAAAGATGTTAATGTATGAGCTACTTTTGTACACTAAAACCTCAGTACTTAATTTAATTGCATGGTGGCACTTTGCAATAAATAAGTGGGTTTAGGTTGCAGTTTGATACTTGGTCTCTAGAAGGTTTGCCATCCGTGCTTTATGCCCTTTTTAAAATAAGTTTTAATCTCTGGGTTTTTTATTTTAAATTTTAGTTTATTAGTAGATGTATATACCTAATGTTTACATAAATTGTGGGAAATTGGTACATGTACATAACACATCTTTTTGTTGTTTTTGTTTTTGTTTTTTTTTTTTTGGTTTTTCTCCGGTACCGGGAACCGAACTCACGACATTGCACTTGCCAGGCAGGAGCTTTGCCGCTGAGCTAAATCCCCAGCCCCTGTTTTGTTTTTTAAGACTGTGTCTCACTGTAGCTCAGGGTGGCGTTAAACTCATTCTGTAGCCCAGGCTGGCCTTAGATTCATGGTGATCCTCTTGCTCAGCCTCCCCAGTACTGGGATTACAGGCGTGTGCCATCATGCCTGGCAATACATTTTAATTCCTTTTTCATACCCCTTCTCTGCCTTCCCTCCCCCCTTCACCTGTCCTTTGATCACCTTCCTTTTTAAAAAACTTTCGTCCATGTTTGTAGCACATCTTGCTTACATTCCTTTTGTGGAGTTGGTACTTGCACATAACACAGCCCAATTCCTTTTTTTCATCCTTTATCTCTCCATTTTTTGACCTCCTTTCCCTTCAAGAATGAAGGATACGTTGTGCCTTATTTCAACCGTCTTCTCCACAGTGCTACAGACAATGGCTTGGGACATGTGGATAAGCCGATGAAGAAATACACTTGAAGGGATGTAGTGCTGAAGGTTATTGACACAGGTGAATGCCAAAGGAAAGAGAAGGCCCCATCCTGTGCAGTGCTGCAGAGTAATGCATGCAAGTGTACTCTGTTTGCTAGGAGTTAAAATAGGTGCTTAGGATTTTAGATGTTTCATGTTTCACAGAAAGTCTTGGATAATTGTTATGTAGTATTTTAGTAGTTGGGGGGTTGGAGTTTTTAGGTGAACCAGGAGCACGTTATAATTTTTCACCTTTCTACATATAGGTTCTGTTACCTGAAAAAAATACCTTTTAACATACATTTAAGAACAAACTAGATTCCAGTAACGAGGGCTGTCTGTATTTTAAATGTTACACAAATTGGTCATACTGTAAAAATCTTACTGCAACTTGCTTTGTTTGTTTGTTTCATATCCTGTCTGAGTTATATCCCTGTTGAGTGTGAAGCTCTCATTCAGTTGCTTTTACTGCTAAAAATTATCACATTTTTATTCCTTATTTTGTTTTAGGTTATTGCCTAATTTTAGATGTTATATATCACTGCAGTAGTGGTCTTCATAGACGTCTTGTGTGTTTGTGTGTTTGTGTTGGCAGATATTTTTAAAGACTTGTGTGCCAGGCATGGTGGTGCACACCTGTAATCCCAGCACTTGAGGGACTAAGGAGGATTGCTGCAAGTTCGAGGTCAGCTTGTTCTACATAGTGAATTCAAGGCCAGCCTGAACTACATAGCAAGACCCTGTCTCAGAAAACAAAAATGACCCCCCAAAAACTTCTAAATTCTTCCCACAGTGCTTGTACCAGTTTATTTATCAGAGTGTTACCATACTTAATGAACAGCCAAGAGACATGATCTTAAGTTTATGCACAAACTTTGAAGTGTAAGAAAAGTTTTTAAATGTATGAAGGTAACTAGCCAGGAGAAGAAATAGAATAGAACAAAAGTTGGTAGTGATTTGCAGAGGAAGCATGGAATGTAGAAGTAGGAAGGCTTTACCTGGACACCAGAGCTGATGGAATGAGAATCAGTGGTCTTGTTCAATATTGTGGCCCTAACACCAGAAAAGTGAAATGCAGAACCTAGGGCTACTTCCCACAGATAGCAGTGGGGATGGGAAAGGGGAGGGGAGGTGTCTTTTTATTGAATAATTTTCTCAAGTTTTACTTTACTGGGGCTGGGGATTTAGCTCAGTGGCAAAAGCGCCTGCCTGGCAAGCGCAAGGTCGTGAGTTCGGTCCCCGGTACCAGAGAAAAAAAACCAAAAGAAAAAAAAAAGTTTTACTTTACCATGTGAATACATATTACTTTTATAATTAAAACTTTTTTGTAGTTAGATGGCAGAAAAATGAGGTTGAAAATAAGGCTTACAAATAAAATATAAACCTTTCCATTCAAAATAAAATACAGCTTAAATACAAAAATAGCGCAT